GTACCCATGTGTTGGCGATCGTTAAATGTTCTTGGAAAATAATCAGTAACAATACAGACTGTCTGCGTCCTGTTAGAGGTAGGGATAGAGATAAAGGGTATTTGGCTTGGAGTCATGGCTTTGGAGATAAACATACATAAATCAGATATGCACTCATGTTCGTCTCCATAATCTGTGAATTCATCATTAATTACCTTTTGTTTTGTTTTGATTTTATTAGAAGCTTATGTATGTTGGATAACGTGATAATAATTATTCTCGTAATTATTGTTCATTGGGGCAACAGGTACCTTTTTTTTTTTTTACTTGCATAAAGGGCGATTGACTTACCTCGCATTCAATTAATTAAGATTATCTTCTGTTTCGCTGAGCATTATCGCCAGTGTATTGTCACACTTGTTAAATTAATTGGAACGATAGCACGCACAGTTCAATTTTCATCTCATGAATCTTATATTTATAAAACGATTATTGAGTTGGAAAAAGTGGGTGTTGTTTTGTACGTCATATTTTATTAAATATTGATATCTGATGTTAGCAATTGATTTGCCTGATTCCACCGATACTTTATCGCATAAATATAAGCTCACAAATGCATAGCTCAAGGAAAAAAACAGTTGCGTTAGCAGATATTTGTTTTTGTTGTCAAACGTTGCTGATTATTTTGTTGATACTCAAGTACGTAACTTGAGAATCCCAAGTATGAAAAGAAAAGTATTTCCATCTTTAGTCAAAATCAAATTTCAGCTTTTGAAATGTTACTTTTTGAATCAATGGTGAGATTCATATTAGACACAACTGTGCACAAGTGAACTCGACTCGTAAACTTCAAGTTTATTCTGCAACATAATGTATAAAAAAAAGTCCATAAACACGTCTCGAATATTATTGTCACTTGCCACACGCCCCACGCCCTTCTGTGATCCAGACTATAGAACGACCATACATGGAGATACCATAGATAGACGATAAAGAAAGCAAAGGCGAAGGAGTGTTGGAGAGGAAGAAGAGAGACCAGGTCAAAAATCTCTCGGACTCCGAAGTCGACGGCACAAGAAGATGAGGTGTATAGAAAAGAGAGAGGAGGAGGAGGAGGAAAAGCGTTTCCAACGCGGGGGAGTATCCACACATGGTGCATACAAAATATGTACACATACACATGCACACCCGGTAGGCTAGAAAAGGACAGCAGATCGAATCGAGCGCTATCTCGTGCCGCGAACTGTAACCATACACTGCTCCGAGTTTCCTTTCTCGTCTCGTGTGTGAGTGTGATTCAACCATACATTTACACACACATACACAACAAAACTCCAGGGCCGTACTGTCGTACGGGTTCAAGGAAAGTAATGTACATTTGCTTGTACGTGAAAATTTATACAAGTATCTCTTTTTATTTTATTTTTTATTCATCAAAAGAAGAAAAGTAAAGTAAACCAACCATGGGACCATAGGTTGATGGACAGGGACGCAAATTTTTCAACCTACCCACCCTCGAAAACAATTCACATCTCTAATTATGAACCTGTATGATCGGACTGATTATTGATTTTCTCGCTTTTTCTTTATTCTGACGTGTTTTTTTTTTTTATGTATATAAAAAAAAAAAAAAAAAAACTTGTCCACCACCTATTCTGCACTCGACCCCATCGAGCCGTACAGCCCTGGGTTTATATTGCCAACACACACACACACACACACATACCCATAAGATACACTGTACACGCTTGTTCGGAGCATTTATTGGAGCAGCAGTATCGAAGCAGCAGCTCCGTTCGTCGTACCGTTCTCCATGGCGTGTACTGCCATACCCATACTCTCCGACAAACTCTTTCTCAAGCTACCGATGGTTGCTGGCGCTTTGTACTTGTTATAAAATAAAGAGAGTGCTTTATTCATCTGCCGTACGGAGAGTGGGTGTTGTGGGTATAATATACCCTCCGGTGAGAGAGGAAGGAAGATAGAGAGCCGCTCCAGTGTGTGCTCCGGAGCAGGAGACCGGAGCGTCTTTGGCGGCGCGCTCGAGCCGCGCCAGTGGAATTCGCTGGGACGAGGAGGAGCAGCAGCACCGAGCATCAGCAGCTTGGCTCGGCCGTTCGCTCTCGGCTTCTTCTGCAGTTCCGTCCGTCGACGTCGCGGTGTTATGTGTGTCCGTTGTTCGATGAGAGAAATAATCAGCGAAAGAGGTGGTGGTGGTCTTGTTGTAGTGAAGGTGCAACATCCACTGCTAATCGCAGATGGAAGTAAACAAAAATTATTCCTCAAACGAAACGAATGATAATAATAATCTCGATAATAATAATAAAAAAATTATGTACCAAAGTGTACCATCCAAACATCAGTTACAACAATCGCAAATCCGTCCGTAGTCAAATGTTGATGTATGTGTACCTAGTCGGTCTGTACATCTGCGCGTTCGTTATATATCGTCTGGTGCGACTGTTGCTCATCGCGAGGAGGAGGCGCTGAACTATACTCGCCAGCCTATGCTTGGTTTCCATAAAAAAAAAAAAAACGCAGTCATGAACCCGATGATGCTGCTGCTTTTCAGGCACAAGTTTCAAGGAGGTGCAGCAGTTGATGATTATAGAGCCGCGAAAATGCAGTGCCGCGGGGCAGGATTAACAGTGACGCATATTGTTACTATCGTCGGCTAGGCCGACTTTAGTGTGAAGTGTCCTTTTACCGAAGCTTCTACTTGGTGCTTCGTTTTCATTGATACACACACGTATAGGCAATAAGATTTTCGGAGCAGATGATCCTTGATTACTTTGCTTAAAGATGGATACCTACGGTAGCATGTACCAAGTGAGTAGTAATTTTGACATGTGTTTTTTCTTCATTTATTCATAAAAAATGACTCGCATCTAGCACAGATACGGGAACAAACGATGGATATTAAATAGGAGCACGTAGTTCTCTGTTTTTATTTTTTTATTTTTTTTTTTTAAAGGACAAATTACGCCCCCAGCTCTGTATTTATTGTGGGTGTTTTGTACAGTGTACGTGCGTGCATGTACATTTCAGTGCATTCGCTCTTTCGCGACCATTTATTTTCATGGCCGCTGCCGCCGTCGCCACAAAACGGGCCCCTCGCGAGAGACACACACACACACATAACCATACACACACCATGCATGCTTACATACTAAACGGGCAGAGCCCCATTCTTTTCGACTTTCCAGCCGATATGTTTGTAGTATATGCTTTCTCGTGCGTGTGGGTCTGTGTGGATACCCACTTACACTCGCTTCCTCGCTGTCCCGTGTCCCCGTCTCTTTAATATTAAACTACACCGCTGTTTCTCTCTTGTAAACCTATAATGCATCATCCCTTTATCTATTTTTTTTTTTTTTTTTACGTTACGAAATTTAAATATAAAAAAAAATACCGTGTATGGATGCCGAATAATGGATTTTAGTAGTGAAAGGGCCTTAAATGAGTTTGCTGTTCGCGCGCAGAAAGAGAAGACGTGGGGAGCAATTTTTTTTTTTTTTTTTTCGTAATATTCATCCATTTATTCATTTATTTACACATTGCCATCTCTGACTTCCTCGCCTACTCGCTGCTCCAATTTGCAAAGGAAAACAACAAACGTACTCCCATGCACTTCAAATAAGTGGGAATTTAACAAGCTTGATGCTCGCTCTCTGCGCTCATGTGGTGATTTAATTGAACCACTACGACTTTTGGTGTGTGCGTGTGTGCTTTTTTTTTTTTTTCTTTTCTCAAAGCCGTAGGTATATATTTTTATACGCAATGCTACGCCCGTATACTGTTCCTCGGCTGCTGCTGTTGGTTGTGCGTGATGTCATTTTGTGCCTCGTTCTAACCTGATCTCTCGCTCTTTCAATCTCCTCCGCCATATATAATCACGCCCATTCTTCATGGTATATATGTATAAATTTGCCTCTTACTCACTCGCTCATCCATTCTTGTTTGTATCCATCCATTATAGTTTGTCATTTGCACGTATATATTATATAGATAGAGGCGATCTTTGCCATCACCTTTTCTTGACCTGACAGTACATTCAGAGTCGAGGAGACAGAGAGAAAATTGCGGAGAATCTAATACTTTTCTTGCATGTATATTATACCTAATACGCGTACATGTCTTTGCTTACTCTCTTAATGTGCAGATTAGGTATCTACCAACGTGCCTCTAGATATACGAAGATTTAGAGTCTCCAGTAGATAAATGTAACATACCTACATGTGAAGTTTTAAAGCTTCAAATTTAATAAATTAGCGCGATCTTGGTTCTTTTTAATGATTTCTCTCGGCTTTTACTCTTATTTCTTACTTCAAAGAGGAAAAATCTCTGTTTTATCATATGTTATGGTGTACTCTCATAAGAAAAACAACGATAGAGCGGAGTTTCCAATGTAACTTTTTTTTTCTTCCTTGAAAATAAGTATTGATAATTATTACTGATTTTACGCTCAAATGCACCGATTATTTACACTATTAACTTTATTCTTAAATATAATATGACGTTTGGTTGAGCGTAGGGTCTCTTTTATTTGCTCATTCATTGCAACGAAAGAATAAATGACACCGACGAGTGCTAAACAAATCCCTGGGAATTCACGGTCAGATTTTCTAGACTTTTGTTACCTTGTTTTTTTTTTTTTATTATAGAGACAACAAAAATAATTGTGTTTTTTTTTTACTTTGGTTGACCATTATGTCAATTGTGATCGGTATGATATTTGAACCAAAAATGTAATTACGTGAATCGGGAATCGAGCTCTCACGAAACATTCAACTCGGGGTGTCTGATGCAGTTCTTATAAAGAGTTTGAAAACTCGATATATTAATAAAATGAAGTCATATATTATTAAGCGTAGATCCATAAGTTGAGCAAATTGTTTCTGCTCACATAAAACGAAATCCCCTTATCCGTAATATTTCACTGATGAATGCGAAAAATCACTCAATGAAGTTGTACTTAGGGACGAAAGTTAAAAAAAAAAAAAATGTCAAAAAAATTTCAGTTCTCGCAGGGTCTGACAGGCAGACCGGAGCTGTACCAAAAGTCGAACAGGAGCAGCCACTCGAGCGACACGAGCTCGGCGTACAGTGGCTCGGACACGATGACTTCGGTTCAGAGCTCCCTCGACGTGGACGTCGATGAGGTCGACCTGTCCGGTCTCGTGGAGTCCATCGTCGACAGCGATGAAGAGGAAGACCTCGCTGAGAGCATGGACGTAAGTGTATAATTTTACCTGGAGTACCAAGAGCGCGACTTTCTCGGAAAGCATGTATCTATTGTACGCGGCGTAACACCGTTTGTTGGTCTTCCTATGAACAAAAAGCTCTTATTTACCCCCTGAAATTACCAAAGCTGGGGCTTCTTCTGGAGTTCTATGAAGTAACCATCGGAAGTTTTCCAAGATACTGTTATATAAATCGTCTCAGGCCCATCACCGTATACCATTCCTTTTTTACTCTTAGCAAGTTTTTCGTTACCAGTCACGCGTAAATAACTAAAATTCTTTGTTATTGATCGTAAAAATCTGAGATTCATTTTTTCTTGAAAGTACAAATCACGTTGGCAGAGATACTTACGAAACACCTCGCGAAAATAGCGAGGAAAATAGTCATTCGCGCATGAAAAATCGTCACGAAATTTCACTCGTACAGTAATAATATCACTGCCCTACCGATATTTCATGCAAAGCCATGAGCACAGTGAATAAAATTAATGTCGGGAGGGTCCAAGTTTACATAGCCACCATCCCCTTTGGTGAATCTCAAACGAGAGCCAAGTAGCAATGTTGACGTGGCATTTAAATATCCCAGAGCCTGACGGTACGGGACACGGTGCGCGAGTGCCTGGAGAAAGACCCGGTGGAGCGCACGGAGGACGACATCGAGGTCCTGCTGGAGTTCACCCAACACCTCAAGGCCTTCACGAACATGACCCTCGCGGTGAGGCGAGCCCTGTGCGCGGTCATGGTGTTCGCTGTGGTCGAGCGCAGCGGCATGGTCGTGCTGACCGACGGCGAGGAGCTCGACAGCTGGAGCGTGCTCATCAACGGCACCGTCGAAATCGAGTACAACACCGGGGAGATCCAGCAGCTGCACGTCGGCGACAGCTTCGGCATCATGCCCACCATGGAGAGGCTGCTCCATCGCGGCGTCATGAGGACCAAGTGAGTTGTTGCCGAACAAAAAAAAAAAAAATAATAATAAGTCCCAGAAACCGGCACGGCCCGTTTGTTGTTTTGTTCGCGTGAACCGTATCTGATTGCTCGTGTCCACGCACAGGTGCGACGATTGTCAGTTCGTGTGCGTCACCCAGGCGGATTACTACAGGATCCAGCACCAGGGCGAAGAGAACACGAGGCGGCACGAGGAAAACGGCCACGTGATACTCGTGACGGAGCTGCGGGATGCCCTGAACAATGGCTCGCGTCGTGGCCACGTCGTGATACGGGGCACGCCCGAGCGCCTCATGCTCCAGCTTATCGAGGAGAACAGTATTAACGATCCGATCTACGTCGAGGACTTTTTGCTGACCCACAGGACATTCGTCGACAACTCGCTGACGGTGGCCACGCAACTGCTCGAGTGGTTCGAGCAGGCCCAGGTTCGCGATCGGGTGGCCCGAGTCGTTCTGCTCTGGGTCAACAATCACTTCACGGACTTTGAGACCGATCCCGCGATGATGGAGTTCCTCGAGGCCTTCGAGTCTTGCCTCGAGCGGGAGAAGATGCAGGGCCAGCAAAGGTATACTCGCGCAACAACAAAAAAAAAAAAGAAAAAAAAAAAAATCGACCGATCACGCGTATGCTCACACGTGTCTCTTTGGCAGGCTTTTGAACATCGCGTGCGCAGCGAAGGCGAGAACGCGTACCGTAGTCCTAACGCGGCCTAGCAGGGACGAGGTCCTGCAATTCAGTATTTTGGGAGGCTACGAGCGAGGCTTCGACATCTTCGTATCCAAGGTCGAGAAGAAATCCAAGGCCGAGGATGTGGGCCTCAAACGGGGCGATCAGATACTCGAGGTCAACGGACAGAGCTTCAAGCACGTCAATCACGCCAAGGCCCTGGAAATTCTTCGGGGCTCGACTCATCTCAGTATCAACGTCAAATCTAATCTCATAGGTACGTCTATGAATACATCTGTGATGGGGGCATTTTTTATTTATTTTTTTATTTATTTTTTTATTGTGTTGCGTCACGAGCGAGCATTGATAAAAAAATAAAGACCGTAAACATTGAAACTTGTCACTTGCAGCGTTCAAAGAGATGCTGCAAACACCGGACAATGTTCGATCCCGTAGCCGACCGAACAAGCCCGAGGTATTGCCGCGACTACAAACAGATCCTCGAATAAGAATGTCCACGCACGTCGATCCCCTGACACCTGTCAACAATCCGCTGAATCCGATGGTCGGTGGTGTGCCAATACTTACATCGACGGCCGACAGCAACAACGTCTCGCCGTGCAAAGATGCCAAGAAAGAGCACAAGGGCTTCATGACTCTGGGACCGCGCAAGAGGTTTCAGAAGGCCCTTGCGAAAATGAATTTTTTGCCAAAGAATCTGATCAAGTGAGTATTTTTGTACTGCCAACTTTTCCTTCGGCTAACAAACTTGTGAAAGACATGGTTAACTTGGTTGCCTATAAAAAGATATGAGATGTGGATTAATTTTTTTTTTTTTTTTTTTAAGACTTCTGATAAACAGTTGGGTTACTCAACACCAATGTTTGCTTACCCAGGCATGAATTTTCTATGTCCAACATGTATAATGCCGATGTGCCGGAGAGAGAATGTTTCAACTAATCTTTGGTAATCTTATTTAAGAATTTTTTTTTTTTTTTTTTTTTCATTTATCGTATTTATCGTCATTTATCGTCAAACGTATTATAATTGACGAATAACAAAAATTAATGATTCGAACGTGACCAGCGATAACTCGAGCGTGTGAAATTTTTTTTCCAGCGATGGTGTGCACGCGGACGATCCACTGGGCCCGCCACACACGCCACCAGGAACAGGCGGCTTGGCCCAGCAATCATCCAACTTGTACCACTCGCGATCTAATCCGGATCTTACCTCACTGTACACGTACGAAGACCCGCGGGCCAACGACTACCCGGAGCACGTGCTGAAGGTATACAAGGCCGATCAGACGTGTAAATACCTACTGGTGAACAAGGAGACGACCGCGCACGAGGTCGTCATGCTCGCGCTCCAGGAGTTCGGCATAACCGAGAGCAGTTCGAACTTCTCGCTTGCCGAGGTGAGCGTCGGTGACGGTGGTATGATAAAGCAGCGCCGGCTCCCAGATCAGATGCAAAACTTGGCCGAGAGAATCGGACTGAGCTCGAGGTACTACCTCAAAACGAATGGACTGTCGGAGACGCTCGTAGGGGACGAACAGGCTCCTGAACTCGTGCGAGAGTCGCAGGTCCATTTTTTGCAACTCAATGCAGTTGAGGTGGCTATACAACTAACGCTCCAGGACTTTGCTATATTCAGGTAAATAAAATTCATTCATTTTTTTTACCGCGTGACAGTGCACTCCGGTGAACTGAGTCTTGATGTCGCATTGGTTTTGTTTGGCAGGCAAATCGAGTCGACCGAATACGTGGACGATCTTTTCGAACTGAAGAGCAAATACGGCGTGCCGATGCTGAGTCAATTTGCGGAGCTCGTCAATCGAGAGATGTTTTGGGTCGTGACGGAAGTTTGCTCGGAGCACAACGTCATGCGGCGAAGCAAAATCATCAAACAATTCATCAAGATAGCACGTAAGCGATGGGTTTTTTCAACTATTGTTGCTCGAATATTTTATTGATACAACACGTGGTTCTGTTTCATCTACAGGTCAGTGCAAAGAATGCAAAAACTTTAATTCCATGTTCGCAATTATCTCGGGTCTGGGTCACGGTGCGGTTTCGCGGTTACGAGCGTCTTGGGAAAAATTACCGACCAAATACCAGAGGCTCTTCAGCGACTTGCAGGAGCTCATGGATCCCAGTCGAAACATGAGCAAGTACCGACAACTAGTTTCCAGCGAACAATCACAGCCTCCAATCGTAAGTCCAATTTGAACTTTTACAATCAATCATCAGTTATCTATGTGACGGTATAGTCAAGAAATCACGAATAACATCGCAATGTTTACTTTTAGATTCCATTTTATCCAGTTGTTAAGAAAGATTTGACCTTCATACACCTCGGAAACGATTCGAGAGTCGAAGGATTGGTGAACTTTGAAAAGCTCCGTATGATAGCAAAAGAAGTTCGAAACTTGACAAACATGTGTTCGTCGCCTTACGACTTGGTGACGATGCTCGAGCGAGGTGGCCAGCCTCCGAGCTCCGCCATGGTAGCTCTCAATCAAATGACGACCGGTAGTCAAGGTACAAAAGGTTAATGCTCTTTCACTAACACTTACCTGCTCGCCTAACTCGAATAATCACACTAACAATTTTTGTACAGAAGTACCAAGAGCGCGTATTTTTTCACGTTGACCAAATTATTTATTCCAGTATTCGTTAATTTATTGGTCGTAGGTGGGCAAACGGCGACGGTGAAGAGACGCAAAAAGTCCGCAGCAGCGCCGAATCCGAAAAAGATGTTCGAGGAGGCGCAGATGGTGCGACGCGTGAAGGCTTATCTGTCGAACATGAAAGTGACGACGGACGAGGAGAAGCTGCACCAGTTGTCGGTCGAGTGCGAGCCACACGCGGGCGCGATAGCCATGGCTGCGGCGGTGCCACTCGGCGGGTCTCGCGGTAGGAGGCATCCGTCGCCCACGCTGTCGACTACCAGTAGCGCCAGTAGCACCAGCGAAGGCAGGAAGAGCATACAAGGTACGATGCGCCCCGACTCTACCCGACGAAGCTCCAATTTATGTTGAAACACCTTTCCCTTCTATTTAACAGCTAAAATTCTTGATCCAGGCACTAAGTTTGGTGCTGCCTCGCCTCAGGCGGTGCGCAAAATGCTAGCCCTCTCGGATCCGTTGAAGACACGTCCCTACCAGCCGAAGCATTGTCAGCCACAAATGCCAGTATTGGGCTTAGGGCTGCACTCGTCAGCTATGGAGTCGAGCCCGGGTGCGCCACGTAGGGTCGGCTCCGGCAGTAGTGGTAGTCGGTTACCAATGCACGAACGCTCGCACAGCGACACTCCTTCGGGCCTGCCACCGCCCGTAGACCTAAGCGCGGAAAGCAGCAGCGTCACCAGCCTAAGTAATCTGCAGCCTTTGAGAAAAACTCTGACGAGCGGTAAGTTTGTCCACTATACCTGTCGATGTGCTCTCTATTCAAACACACACACATACAGAAACACGTTCCGTTCCTCAATCTACTCTCTCCTTCCTCTCACCTCACTCCCCAGCGTTGTCGTCTCTCTCGCATAATTATCTCACAATCACTATTAATACATTTTATAGAGGACGGTGCTTGTGTTTACTTGGTTGACTATTTGTTAATGATAGGAGAGATTTGCTGTGTGTTCTAACGTCTCTCTCTCTCTCTCTCTCTCTCTCTTTCTCTTTTTCTATGTTTTAATGGTTTCTTTTTTTTGGTCGTCCTCTGGATTGAGTGTCGAGTTGGAAACAACTGAAAGTGAAAACGATCTTATTTGCAGTAGAAACTCTTTCCATTTAAAAAATTCATCACTTCACCTTTACATGTACACTGATTTTGAGTGTAATTGATTTGCACAAAGTTGTTTCGAATCGTTATTTTATTATGAATTTGCTGTTGCGTACTCGGCAATCATTAAATCGTTTTCAATGTGTGTTCGGTCATTGTGAAATGATACCATCTTTATTTAGCCTTGTTTGCACATAATTATTCATCACGCTGTTGTTTCTGTTAAAAAATTTTCAAACAACGTTACGAATAGACAGCCTTTTGACCAGCAATAACAGGATAGATAATCGAGAGTAGGAGTAAAAGAACGGAAGAGAGAGAGAGAGAGAGAGAGAAACATGATGGATAGAAATGAGTGTAAGTAGAGGGTAAAAAGATTGAAAAAAAGAAATGGTCGGTTCACCCTAGCGAGGGAAGAGTTGATCGAATGATGAGCGGAAAAAAGAGCAAGAGGAAGGGAACGAGAAACGTCTTTCTCTTCTATTTTACTTTGCACGCTGCACCAGCTGTCACGCAATTTTTAATCATCATTGCCATTATTACTATTATACTCATGAGTGTTTTCACGTCCCATCTATCGTTGCTCTTTTATCACTCGCGCACGCATTCAATACACATACACATACATACACACACACACACACACACACACACACACACACACACATATATATATATATATATATACTAAATTACGTACACATATACTCAAGTTACTATTTACATTTGCATGGTATCAAACAGTTGCNAAACTCTCATTACTTCAAACTCCCTTTAAAGTTCAAACCATTGTGTCGATGATAAAATTTATATGTACATCATATATGAATAAGTAAAAAAAGAACCGAGATATATATATATATATATATATAAATGATTAAATAAATAAATATATACGAACATCGACGTAATCACACAAATATATACATATATATTCACGTATGTATTTCACAGGTATAAAAAAAATCGTATCCATGTATATTTTTCATGCACGTTCGCGAGAGAGTTTGATGTCGAATGTAAATATATGCGTGCAAGTAGAGGCGTGTCGATAACTTTTTACCAGAGCCTAAGCAAGATTATATGATTACGTGTATACAAATGATGATTAATGCTCGCGAGATTGTCCAAGTATGCGTTGATAGTCAATACCTTTCCCTCTTAATATCTCTTGGTGTAGTTTTCTCGGAGATTCCCTCAAAGGCTTGCAGTTATATATACACATACCAATATATATATATATATATATATATATATATATATATATATACATTGTTACATTGCGAGTGAGTCGCTCGTGCTTTTTTAAAATCACATATCGTAACGATTTCACGCCAAGAATAACTTTGTTACACTTTGTACATTCCGTATGCGCAAGTTAAAGCCGTGGGGAAATTTATCACTTATGGACAAATCGCACACTCGTTGCCTGTAAAGCATATTGGGGAGTATTGTGTCCAAAGATGTTCACTCACTTTTTAGAGAAATTATTAAACACTGGTTAATTAGATTAGATTGCTTTTAAAACCATAAATACAAAGTCCATATAAATACACCAGTTGTCAAGATGCATGTGTTTAAATATTTGTTTCATGACGTAACTCACGAACAACATTGATTACAAAGGTTTTTTTAATGCTAAAATACCATAATTAACGCTATACCAGGGAAGTTCAAGTGCTTGTATGGTTTTACTTGGTTTTTGAGGTTTCAGATTTGTGAAATTTTAATAGACATCGTTGAATTTTTTGTCAACTATACAGATCTCGGTATCGTTAAATAATGAAAACACAATTTTTTTGTTTTCCATCAAAATACGGTAAATTTCTTACGGAAAAAAATTGCATTTCTGAAATAAAAAAAGAGAGAGAAAACAATTAAAAAATTTAGATTGATTTTCAATGATCACAGTACACTAAAAGTTAAAAAAAAGCGTTGATGGCTTTGAGAAAAAGATAAAAAACATTCAAGTAGTGAGGAGTCGTACGAAAAAAAGTAGAAAGAGAGAGAGAGGCAGAGGCAGTCCCAAAAACAAAAAAAAAGAAAAACAACCATACAAAAGAAAAAAAAAGAAAAAAAAAAGTAAGTGGAAAGTACGTGTTTGGGCCTCGTGTTTGCGTAGGTTCGGTGACAAGCAGTGACAGTGGTCACAGCACCCAGCTGGACAGCCATAGCGGGAGCAGTGTCGAAGCCGGCGGTAGTCCACCACCTCCTCAGAGACGACACTCTGCCTTGCAAGGTATGTGCCTCACATACACACGCATATACAAACATCAGACTTGCACCATTTAACCCATGTACATACACATTCATATATACATACATGCTCTCTTTTTGTCCTTGTCTTTTTCCCCTTTGTTTGCTCAGAACTCGGAATCTCGTTTTATTTCATTGTTTTTCCTTGAGTTTGAAATTTGAGCCCTTCACTAATGGGCATCGGGATTACAAATCGATGCACTCCAGATTGTATTACGTGTCAATAAATGCGTTCAAAATTCAATTCCTCCAAACTTTTTTTTTTTTTTTTTTTTTTTCACTGTTGATAGTTTTCGGTCAGTTAAAAAAAAAAATAAAATAAAATAAATAAATATCCAGTTACTGCGTGAAAATTACACGAAATTTCATGTTTGAATGTTGCTCATGAAACACTATATGTCTCCATGTTAGAATGTATTCCTCTGGCTCTATCGCCGTGACCATTTTCGTCCCGTAATTGTACGTATATGGATAAAGGCAACAAAATAACCGTATGGTAGTAGAAAAAAAGCTTGTTCTTAATAGTCGTTTGCTATATTTATACTCTACGTGTGCTTCTTTCGGACATACTAATTGTGGCTAAATTGTGTTTGAGGGGACTTTTTTTAACGAGGTATTACTCATGGACGTTTAGATGACTACTTCTAACGTAATTAGTTTAACCTTTTTCTCATTACATACACTTTTTTAGTTCCAGCTATTGGTTGAATTTTGTAAACAAGCCTTGAAAGTTTACTTCTTTTTATCTTTTCTCCGTAAAAAAGAATATTCAAGTAGATTATTATGCATAGTGTACTTTTTTTATTACTATTACTTATAACTTTTAGTTTAATGCGACAATAGTACATTATTTGGATGAATGTTGTGCTTACTACTTAGTTTCATTGGATAATTTTATGCATCCTCTTCTGCAACCAAACTGGAAAATCTCAATTGCTTTTCAAACTAACAAATTACCTTTCGGTTGGTTATAGATTTTTACATAAATTTTCACATTTGATATAATCACATTAAAAATTGCAGTGAAATATTTTTGAAAGGCAAGAAAAGTTTTCTCTTTTCGATGCATATTGATTATTCATATTTTTGTACATATTTATCAACAAATGGGTTTGAATAATATAATATTATGAGCATCTTGCCTGAAATGCAAGAATTTTAAGAGAAAAAAAAATGCTTTGTACATAAAAAACAAACGCTTACGCTTTGGCCAGTGAGATAATTAAAAAGATGGCCATCAGAATCAAATATCTCTCTCTTACTTTTATTATGTGTAGGAATGAAAATACAATAAAATTGAAAAAAGCTTTTCAATAAAAAAAAAAAACAAAAAATCAAAAGGTTTGGAGACCCTGTAACACATATGTATAGTTTGTTGAAAAAACCCTCACCTACTAACACAATAAGCACAAACGAAGTAGTAGAGCTAAAAAAAACCGAAAAGCACCTACACGCAAATGGTTGGTATAATGGTGACAGGAAGCAAGGAGTTAGGGCAGTTTGCGCGAGGACCCCCGCCGTTCCCACACGCGGTGGCGGTACTGCCTCCCTTACCCGTGAATCACAATCACTCGGCGATCAACCATCAGTCCATCAAGCCATTACCACCACCACCACCACCACCTCTGTCACCTCAAAGGGAAGATGATGGCCATCTGCATCATCATCATTATCATCATCATCACCGCAAACGCCATGAATCCCTGTGTCCCTTCGACGGTGAGTTTCTGGTCCTCGTGAGAGGGCACGGGAAGAGTTGACAGTTTTGGTGTTTTTCACGCTTCTCCAACAGAGTTTGCCACCCCCCGTGTGGAACGCTGAGTTTTTTTTTCCCACACAACCCTCGCCTCAGCCGATAGCCCGGGCTTGCGTTTGAAATTTGATCAATGGGCGGTCACACTAATCATGCAACGGATAAAATTTGTGGGTGCTGTGTTCAGAAAAAATAAATGGACCTGTGTACACTATTTTCACCAGCTGTGTTTGTTTACAGCTCGGTGGTGGCCCTAACACTAACACCACACATCACGTGTATTTTACATAAATGTGCATGAAAAGACGCACGCAACGGTGTGAACATTTTTTTCTTTTATGTTTTTCTGCATGCGCGAATGTCGGAGCTATTAACAATGATTGACTGTTATGATGATGAATTTTATAGCCTGCTACTGATAACCAAAGAGGGAGAAAAAAGTAATGGTAACATTTGTGTGTATAGTTGATTTTGGTGACAAGATGTTGTTGCTGTTTTTATTGCTGTTGAATTTGGGATTGGTTTTATACTCCATAGCGTAGAGAGTGATGGAATACACTCGTACGACTTGAACACGTTTGTGGTATCTGTTTTCGTAACACTTTGTAAATGATTATTATTTTTGTGCTGCTCAAAATGTTTTTTCATGTTTTGTAAAAATAACTTGTTTCGAAAATCGTACTATGAACGTTCAGTTTCCAAGTCGTCCCGATGCATATTTTAACCACTGACCCGCCTATGAAGTACACTACGGCTCTTTGAACCCACTCCCTCGAATCTTTCTCCCCGTCTCCGCCGAAAAAAGTACCATCGCGAGAAAAAAGAAGTTGAGAGACAGGCAACCAAAAAAAAAGAAACACCCCCCCAATACGACAGAAAGTTGGAGAACAAGCGAGGCTTTTCAGGTGGAGGCGCCAGCAACGGGCCGGGAGGAGTCGGGGGTTTGAGCAGTATGCCGCCACCGCCACCGTTGCCGCCCTCGATGAGCCGGCATCTGGCAGGCAGGCCCGGCGACTGTCGTATACCGCCGGACTACAAAATAGCGGCCCAAATGGCCAGGCTGCACAGACTCGGACGAGCCCACAGCCACGAGGGAGTCACCTACCGTAACGACCACGAAGATGGTATTTAAATTGAAAAAACAAAGAAAAAAATCAATTAAAAAAAAATACAATCAAGCCCGCGCAGCTACGATACCACCGCCCGTCATGTTTACCTCTGTAACCACCCACTGTCGTTACTCTACTTATTTACTGCTGCTGCTATACTACTATGATCGTTACACTTGTGTTATAACGAGGGGACGATTGTTTTCTGGGTGTTGTTTTTTTAACTCTACAGCCACCTTTTTTTTTTTTTTTTTTTTTGAGCAATCATGAGTGTGCTGGTTTTTAAAAAATAATTCATTACGCAAAATTTTCTACCAACATCGAGCACTTATTGACGACCAAGAGACTGATACAAGATGCAGCTGTTGTTCTTCTTCCTCGACTGCTTCGACTATTATTGTTTCGTAAGATCGACGACGTGACGGACTGTTATGGCATCATCGATTTTTTGCAGGTGTTTACTTTATCGTTTTTATTACTTGTAAAAACAGACTTTTTTTACTTGTAAAATCAATATTTTATTTAATGTCTGGTTTTTAACTCGTTTTTTTTTTTTTTTTAATTTTTTAACGGGAAATAGTGACATAAGCGTTTGTATTTATTTTACAGTGATTGATAATTGGTAATTAAAGGGAAGAATTATGTACACGGACGTATATTATTTAACAAAAATTGTACAGTTTCACCAATAACCAGCACTGTTATATCACATCGCAGCAATATCTTCAAAGTGTTAACACCACGATTAATCACCGTCCCTTCACTGCAAATTATACGAGTACTAACTTGATGTCAAAAGATCTATGAGTGATGGGTCACTTAAAAATGTACATACAACCAATGCCTAAATGATGAAAATTTGTTTGACTTAATGTCAATCATATACAATGCAATTATAATTACAACTGTTGCTAGATTGTATATAAAAATCAAAGCTTATGATATGCAAGCCTCTGTATACAAAAAATACGATACAATGCTACTGAATGTTCAACTAATGTGCATTTTGTGTATATATTACTTGTTGTTTGATACACGTACTAATAACAATAACGATATATGAAAGAAAATCTAATAATTCTTCAAGATACTTCGAAGCATTTTGTATGCCCACATACGTAACAGGCTTGAATAAAATGATACGTTTAAATGTCCACTCATGTGGATATTGTTTCTAGCAGATTATAAAATATGCCATTACACACATACAAAGAGATAATAAGTTACGAAAAATATTGCATCTCACTCCCTATGCACATGCTTGCTTATGTTCATTGTTTACGATGTCATTGTCACCTTGCGTAACACGTCATCGTCATTTTTTTCATTCAAACAAATTTTTTTTTTTTTCCAAGAGCTTTCGATATACTTCATGCATTATATGCTGCATCATCGTGTTTTCACGCGACTTTGCTTTGTTATGACCCATCTCACATTGCACGTATTTCTATGCTTCAAAATTTCTTTTTCCATATTGTTTTTAAGATTACTATCTCTGAAGTTTTTACAGGAGCAAACAAGTAAAAAAGAAAATGATTTCCCGTGCATCTTGCACCGGAATGTAATAATCTTTTGTTCCAAAAAATTCAAGAGAATTATAATGCACACTTTTTAGGAACTACTGTGTCATAAAAATTATGTTCAACCAAGAAAATTAATTTTTGATGATTCTGACACTATTTCAATCAGATTCCATATTTATTGCGTTGGAAATTTTTCTTTTGAGCAAAAATTAAATGAGTATTCAAAATTTTTACCCCACGTCGAGTTGATGGACATACTCCAGTCGACAGACTTTCGTAATCTCGTGACTGAACGTAGTTTGGTCCGAGACACGAACTCTTCCATAAATTTTATACGTATACGTAAAGAGGCAGTGGTCCTTTTTCGAATTACCTACTCAAATGAATAATTTCAGCAGTAAATAGTTCTTTCGGTCAAACAGTCGTCAAATAATTTTCCCTCATTAGAAAAAAAAAGCATCTCCTCTAAAAATTGCCCATCGTGCTCTGTTCACAGACGACGAAGACGCGCAAGTGTCGGCCGTATAGGACAAGCTTCCGGGCCGTGTCCCGGACCGTTCAGCCTCGATAGCGTCTGCGAGCGAAGCCGTCAAGCCTCGATTGCACTCGTCGTTCGTGATACGCGGCCAACGCGCCGCCACCAGATCCGTGGCTACCTCCCAGCAACACTACGACTCATCGACGTCGTCCTCGTCCTCGTCAACGCTCGTTAGTTCCAGGAAGGCTCAGCAAAAGTAAAATAATAAAACGTCTAAAACCATATACGCACCGGAACTTTGTTACGCGTGAAACATTGGGGTGAAGCTCTTCGATGTTGGAGTCTTTTTTTTTTTTTTTTTTTCGTTCGTGCTAGTACTACGAGAGTTGGCTGTAGCGTTAATTTTTCATGCGTTTTTAAGCAGACTTTTTGTTACTTGAATCGTGAAGTTTATAATGATCGTGTATTTGTTTCGTAAAAAGTGTACATGTAAGTATAAATTAGGTGGACGTGTTTTCGTTTTTTTTAGAAGAAATATATATTTATATATTTTATAGATGATTTATATTTGGAGGCCGTGCTTATTTCAAGCTATTAGATGTATCGGGGAAAGAAAGACTTCAACGCTGGTGCTTCGAGCAATTTCTTTCTCTCTGCACGTGGTAGAGCAGAAAAAAAGTTAAATTTTCATACGTGATGTATCGCTTCGCGAGAAAAAAGGAAAAAAATACGCGCCAAGCTATAAAAGTAGAAAGTTTCACTCCAAAGTAAGCAAAAAGTGTTGAACTTGTACATAACGTGCAGCTTGTACGTGTTGCAAGTGTAATTTCCTATTGATCTATCGAGTATGGAGAAAAAAACAATGAAAAAAAAAAACCAGAAAAAAACATATATATATGATATGAGAAACGACATGAAAAAATTCGTGCGTCGTATTATTATATTTTAAAAATACGAAACAAAAATTGTGTAATAAATCGAGTCCAAAGATGTTAAATATCATTTCAATTGTCGAATTAAGAGATATCGTATGAAAGATAAATAAGACGGCACTTTGTATAATATAATTTTAGTCAAGCCCAGAATCGCAAGATTATCCAATTAACACGTAAGTTGGTGTATATAGTGTTTAGTAATCGTATAGATATATAAATGCATATATACACATTTTAGTCGTTGTTCGTGATAGCATCCGAGTAATCCCAAACCAATCGTACAACATTTTTTTGGTGGTTCAAATGAATACATGTGTTGACAGATAAAACAATCGAGATGAACGAGAGTGGAGATAATTTTTTTATTACTTTATCGAAATTATAACACATAATAAAAGAGTTTACGACTAAAAAAACGAAACTCTCATTACTTCAAACTCCCTTTAAAGTTCAAACCATTGTGTCGATGATAAAATTTATATGTACATCATATATGAATAAGTAAAAAAAGAACCGAGATATATATATATATATGGACCTGTGTACACTATTTTCA